GAGTATAATAACTCATTGCAACCCAAACAAGATCAAATCGCGTATTGAAAACAGCTCTTGACAAAAGAACCTGTTGCCTTCCTTGGGTCTACATTTTGCTTGGCGAGAAGTTAGCCTCCTCCTACACCAAAATAGAACATCTTCTTGCCTAGATATATTTTCTCAGTGTTGAGTCGAGGAAAGTGAAGCTAGAGAGAATTTGCGTGATCAACAACTACAGCATCAACAACATCAATATACGTGGGAATCAGTTAGGTTTACATTTTAGGTTTGGCCAGGTTAGAAATTGCTGAGAGATGGATCGACGACGATAAATTATCCAAGATTAGTGCCGAGTGGATTAATTTACATACCTTTTACAGGTTATCCTAACTTGGTGACAGACTAATACAAGTATTATGGCTGTGGGTGGGCGAAGTACGAGAAATCACGCAAAGGACAAAATAGTTTGTGTATTGCAGAGAGAGGGAAAAAAAGAAAAAGAGAACGCAATGAACTGATTACTGCTTTTTTCCAAACAAAGAACGGATGAATCATTTAGAAATCTCATAAAATGAGTTGGAAATTTCTTGTAAGGTGTCAAACAAGAACAATCAAGGCACCCGAAAAATTTTTGATGATCTGCTGGTCTTTAGTCTTTGGTCTGCTTCAGGCGTTCAGTTCAAACAAAGCGCGGTAGAAGACAGTGTGATATGGTGAGGGGAGGGGGAGGGAGAGGCTTTCCGTTTCGTACACTGACGACAAATAAATCAAAGGATAGTTTAGTTGCCAAAAGCTGTGGACCATATATTCTATGTACAGTTTCAAAATGAGTAACATATACTTCGTAATCATCGAGATTCTTTTTGTAAAATCTAAAGCGATTTAGTTAACATGTTTTACATTAAGTGTACAATTTCCTGAATTTACTTCGTCTTTGCAGACAAGAAACTCGTTCATTAACTCACACGAGCTGAATTGAAAGAGATGGTTCTTCAAAATTAAATGCAAATAACAATTACAATAAAAAGTGAACGTTTACAAACTGCAAGAATTAAGCCTGAATCTCACCTACCATAGTCACTAGATCAACTGAAACGACGAAAAAAAAACCGAGACTAAAAACATTTCCAACTACTTTGTACGAATCTCATTCAATAAAAATTCATCGAGTAGGGTGAACGAAGCATTAACAAAGGTTAAGAGAATGAATCGATACAGTCTGCCAATATTTTTAAGTTTACGTTAATGGAATTTTAATTATTTTAAATCTTTAAGTCAGTCCAATAAGTTATATCACACGCTTTCATTGAATACACTAAGAAGCACTTATGAACAGTTATGAAATTACACATCAGCAGGAGGGTTGCTTCCCCCTGGCTGACTATTCTGAGAGGCACCAGGTGCCTCATCTGCAGGGGGGGCAGCAGCTACCTCGGCCTCAGCAGCTTGTTGTCTTGTAAGTAAGTCTTTAAATTCTTGTTCTCTTTCTAACTCGTGCTCTCTGGCGGCGTCTTGTACTTCTCTTGTTCTAAACACCCAGTGATTGCTCGGTTTTTCTGCTTTGTGAGAGTCTACTTCAGTTTTGGCGGCCACTTCAAACTCTCTTCCAAACGGTGTTCTAAAGTTAAGGTAGCACAGAATTTTATTAACAGTGCTGATAACAAAGTACTTCACGCAGAGGTGAGACACCAAGTTACTGGCAACACGCAACTGTCAACCAAATATCAAGGGATCAGCAAGTTTTCCTCAATAAAAATATTCATTAAAATCGTCTTTTTTTCAATGCAGTGCAAATAAATCAAAACATAGCCTGTGAGCAGGCCCTGATCATTAGCGCCTCAGCACGAGTGTTTCTTTGCCCGCAGGAAAGCATAAATCCCTGAGCAATGCGGGCCGCCAAGAGGTCTCTAAGGGGTGTAGCACTGAAAATGAGGCATTATTAGTGCCAGACCCCGCCGCACCTATTCCCAATTCATCTCAAATCTTCCCGCGGGAGGAGAAAAGCGCGTCTTTCTTGGTATTGCTGAACTTTTATGGGGGGTTAGGGAGGGGGTTACAAGGGGGAGAGTGAGTCAGGAAAAGTCAGAGAATACAAAGCAACACAATAATAAATCGTGAAATCTCGCTAATTTTGAAGAATAGGGAAATAAACAATTCATCCTCAATCATCAATATTTTCTATGACAAACCTGAAAGAAAACTCCGTCAAGGCGGCTAAGTTCTGGTTTGTTTTCACGTGGTTCAGAATGACTTTCGTGTTTGCCTATTGAAAAGAAACCAAAATCAGTTTTAATTGCTGATAGTGATTAAAATTCTCTCTACATAACCAATAAGCAAACACAGAGAAGACAATTTCCAAAGTTGGCTTAATTCTCTCACTGAAAATAAAACCTCATCTAGACGCGCAGATCTGAGAAGGAGAACTTACCGGGACAGGCATTCCTTCTGTCTCTAAACGCTGCTGAGGGTCATGGCAAAGAATTTTCCTACACAAAAAATAAATAAAAATAATAACTGCACATGTTAAGAGCACATTATTAATAGATTTGTACGTGGAAATATTGGTCCATATAGGAAGGCTTCACCAAAAGGAACCTCTTTTTCCAAGCTTCAGGTATTTAAAAGGGTTGCTAATCACAAGTGGATGAAATATGACGTAAATTATTTAACTGAAATACACAGTTACTTACCAGCAGGACATAAAAGTCATATCTTCCTTAAGAGTAACCAGCTGTTGCCTTGACTTCTTGGCACATTCATTAAATGTTATTCTGTCACTCATTAATTTGAGCTACAAGTAAAACAAGCAGATGTAAAACATTCTGTTAATGTCTGATCAACTTGACTTTGGTTAAGAATTGGCCCTTAACCATGCTTTAGTAGGCTTTAGACTGTGGCCAAGTAGCCTGTATGGCCCATGCTCAAAGGGAATAGAAAGGGAATCATTGCAGTTAATTGTTAGGCATGATCACTTGAATTCCATTCAACATTTTAAGCTGGTCTTGTTGTTTAAAAAAAAAAACCCAAAAAACAAAAACAGGTAATCTTCTGATAGAAAGTAAAGTCATTTTTCTGCAATAGAAACTTTACAAACTAAGGTAAACTGAGAGGGGAACTGATTTGATACAAATTATCATTAAAACACAAAAGATTTGAAAGAGAGAAATAAAGAGTTTTCCCATTATCACATTATGCAGTCTGACTCTTTGTATGTTAAGATATCTGAGTTTTCATGAAAAAATTGCAGTGACAGGAGAACAGTGGAAGTAACAGAACATCATATTCTTCCACATGTGAGAAAAAACTATCCAGACCATAAAAATTTTTAGGCAGAGAATTCTTCCATCTTTAATGGCTGGTGAATATCTTGACTTGTCCTAAATTTTCAACATACAGTAGTTTTGCTTGGTTTTAATTTGATTGCATATTACCTCTCCCCCAACTCCAGGTAAGGTACTCAGTGCAAAGGGCTCATTAAATCTTAAAACTCCATCACCTTCCGCTCTTGGCCTGGTGATAAAATTATACAATACATGATTAAATTATGCGACTTTAAGGACCTTGCAGATTTGCAGATAATTAACAATTGATAATTTTGCCATATGGACACCTGTAAGTATCCAAATTAAGCCTTTTATACTCTGGACACATTTATATGAAGCAAAAGCTGGTTTGTAAAATCATGATGGTAACTACTTCAAGTTTGATGACTTATCCACACATGTTATAAGGCTCTTCATGTATCAACAAACAGCTATTGTTACAGCTCTTTCCTTCTCAAAGCTCTCTCTTTGTTCATCTTGGTATTTAAAGCCAAGAGTGTTTATTTAACATTTTAACTCTCAAGATCTGAGAGTTAATTCTCCCCTCTAACTTCTACACATCTCCTTGTAAATTAGTTAGGAGAACTTTGTGCTAGACTGGGAGAGCAGCTTCTACCTGATAAATTTGAATATTCTCGTTTCCTGTTTGCATAATAATGTATGGACATTTTTAGGAGAAGTTTCATGTTAATCACCACTTGGAGTTAAAGGGGTAAGCAATAGACTGCAACTTCTGTTGGTTTACCAGGGTAATAACCCGTGCAAGAATTTGAGGATCACAAGAGAAATTTGTAAATCATGAGCCTGAGACAAGTCATTTACAAGAATTTTCTTGTGTTCTTATAACATCCCAATTAAGTTATTGCGCTTGTAAACAAAACTACTCACCCTATAACAAAAGTATTTCGAATGCAAGGATCTGTCATCTTTGAAGCTGACACATCACATGGCCCCACAAGTCTCTTTTCATCATGCATTTTGCTTTCAGACATATTTGCCGAAAGTGCTGTCTCTGATGCTGGATTGAAGATACAAACTGTGTCACCATAATGAAGATAACCATCATGGGATACTGACAGGTTGACCTGCAAGGAATGGAATAACACAACGCAATGACAGGTTGAAAGTAAAATGGAAATATCATAAGGATTCATATACTGTTTGAGAGTGACGAGACTTTCTTGTGCTACAGTAAGAGTGGATTCTTCAGCCATGTTATCAGAAACATTCATATGAATGTTTCTGATAATATGACTGAATTTTGATGCCTTTTGATTACTTATGATCTAAGAAGGGACAGACACAAAGATGATATCAACACTACCGACATTTTGCTTTTTCTTTGTATAAACCAAATAGATTTCATGTTGCTGTCAGTCTGTGCACTTATAAATCACAGAGGATCTAAAAACGTAGCATACACTTAAGTGACACACTCAGCTGCGCCTCGTGTGCCACGTTTTTCTTTCTTTATCACATCTTGATGCTATCTGAGTTCTGTTACTGAACAAATGCACCAAAACATGACATACATTTGTTAAATAGAGAGTAATTTCTAATTTATTTTAAGAATTCAGACAGATTTAGGGCAACTTTTTCGGGATACACAGCACTGAAAAAATAGAAAACCTCAGCGGGGAATCTTAACCTGTTTATGTTTACTCTTGAAGTAACACACGAGTACTATTTTTGCCGGGCTTAGAGATCGATCCGCATGATCTAAATATAAAGTGAAACTGGGATCAAGTTAAGAATGTATTGACAGCATGAAAGCTATTAAACGAGCTATACCGTGAGAGTTTGTAAAATTTGCAAAATAAACAAGAAGTAAGTTCAAATCAAGCAAAGCAAGTTTATATAAATTTGACAATTTCCAATCTAAGAAATAATTCGATTACGCATTCTTACCTTCTTGAGTATATTTTGGAGGAGATTGCTAGCTTTTTGTATCAGTAATTCTCCACTTTCTTTCTTCTCAAGGAAATCTTTGAGCTTATCCTGCAAACGAATGGTTTTAAGCTGACTTCAAGAATAAAAATAATATATTTCCATCTAATTCAAGGGATGCTATCGCAGAGGCTATGTACAAATAAAGCGAACTCTCACATCTCACGAACCTCTTGTAAGCAAATATCTTCATTCCAGTTCCCTATAAGAACTGAAGGATTATATGTCCGTACACTCATTGTGGTACAAACTTTGCGGGAAAAAATAAACGACAAATGAAACTCCTAATTGACTCAATAGTCCAAACTCTTTCCTGCTTCGATGGAACAATCGTCTGTTATTGCTATGGAGACGAAGTAAGAAACCGCTGACTGGAAACACACATTCTAGGAACGAGGCTAAACGTCATAGTGACGTCATAGCGACGATAGGTAACGCAATAAATCTTAGTGTTGCAATCGTCTGATGTAACACAGGTTACTTTTTCCTCAGTTTGGACTTTCGACTCTCGCTGTTGTAGTATTTAACACGGATGGCTTCGGCTCTTTTTCAGTTCTATAGATGTGCTCGGTAGATTATTTGATCTCGAAATGACAAGCCCTGCAAACCGCTTGGCACTTCACCGTTTGTCTCGATTCATCAGTCGACAGAGGCCCAACGTTTCGAATACTTTCAGTAAAGTTGAAGTTCACCAGGGTTTAAGAAGGAATTTGCCCTATTTGAACCCAAAGGTTGTTACACAAGCATCATATCTGAACTGTAATTTTGGCGAATCGCCGCATTTGTGGAAGGTTACTAAAGGTCACACAACGAAACAACTACCTGTCACGGAGAAGTTCTTAGGACGTCGACTCTACAGTACTGTAAATCAAGGCTGTTCACAGGTATTGTTTCTTCATTGAAAACCCTTTATTGATAGCTTAATAAGTTTGATAGACGGTTTATTTTTGAATTCGGCCGTGAAATATGCTTTATTTTGGTGGATTACGTAAGATTCTAGCTAGTACCGGCTTACCCAGTTAGTAATAGCGTTTGAGAAAAATAATGGCATGAAATTCGACCCTCCGCTTGGCTAGTCTATTCTGGTTTTTGGTTTTTATTGATTATTACTGTAGCTTCATTTCTGAGTGTAAAAATGTTTTATACCTGAGATTATGGAACAAAGAAGTAAAGGGAAATGTACTTTATGATGAAGGGATTTTGCCATACACAGTCCATGCTTGTCAAAACTTACAATTCAGAACCAAGCACAACAATACTCTTGTAATTATTGCACTTTTTATATCATACAACTTTCATTGTTCTCTGATCTAGTTCTTTTTAAACAGCTCAGAAGTCATGTCTTTTTTTTTATAATTTCTTTGAATTATCACTGACAATTATTGGCCTAGTAAGATTTCTACACAATTTTTTATCAAAGAAATGATCTGAGGGTAGATGGAGAGGGAACAGTGGAGCTCGGAATATTGGAGGGTCTTAATTGATTAATGATACCCACATGTTTTTTTTTTGAGAATTAATGAATTGGCCTGGCAATTATTCTGTTGTTAACTTTCTGATGGTATTTTTTTTTCTTTCAGGATTTATTAACAACTGAAAAAGTAGAGAAGAGCAGTCAAATGGCAGACATGGAGCCATCCAATTATTCTGCTCCCAATGACACTTGGACTGTGGAATCTCTTGACTTGTATAAAAAACTAAAAAGTGATTTAATAGAACAAGGAAATGGCGACTGGCTCGAACACAAGAGCTCCATATATTATGGTGAAAGAAGGCTTTTCACTAAAGCATTAGTCAATGAATATCCAGGGAAATTCTTTGAGTATGTATTTTTCTTCAGCAAAAATGAAAAGAAGGTGAAAGGAGTGATTCAGTTTGGATCATATACCCAGGGACCTCCAGGGTAAGTGGGGCGACATTCAGTTATGAGGGAGGGGGAGGTGATCTCATACAAGACATAGAAAGTGAGAAAATGTGTTTAACAAATCAAAAGAAACAAGGGCCAAAGGCCAAAGGGTCTTTTAATCTCTGAGATTGACTAGCATCTAATTTCTCCTCACAATATCACCCTTGAATCACACATTAAGGGCACAAGAATAAAGGAAATGATCACCAACAAAATAAGTTCTTGATTGTTAAACAAATTCTCCTTATTAGCTCCCTAGGAAATGTATAGAGAACTGTATGGAGATTTTGCAGACTGATTTAAGGGTGTAAAGGGTTGAGAATGGTGTCCTTTTTATGGAAAAGTTTTCTTATGGTGCTTTGCATTGAGCAAGTGTTCATGTCAAGAAATTAAACTCCATGCTCCTTTCAAGCCATTCTTTGGGTTGTCACAAAATTGGTTTTTTGGAGGAAGCTCTGCTTGCCATCTCAAAGAAAAGGTACAAAGGAGATTAACCAAACCCAGACTGGAATGCACTTTTAATTTAGTGGAGTTTAACTTTCATGATCAGGGAACAGGTACTCTCCAGTGAATCAAAAGCCTGAGGACAGTTTTTACAAGGCAAAAAGTCCCTGGCTTCTCCATCCAAGGGAACTACATGTAGATGTAAATGGGTGTCAGGTCAGAGGAATTGGTGTTAAACACCAACCTTGCAGAACAATTGAGCTTTCATAATTTGATGTCAACATTTGAACTTATTGTAGATGTGTACATGGTGGTGCAAGTGCTTCCATGATGGATTCTGCCATTGGTGTTTGTGTGAACAAGTCATTTCCTGGTTGTGTGACAGCTTCTTTGACCATGAATTACAAAAGGTAGGGTTTTTTTTTAATCATGATATCTCAGAAAGTTATTGAATAATACAGTTCAAGTGTAAAATTCAGCTTTAAAGAGCAATGGGAAGATTGCTTCCCATGATGATATATCATTGTTAGAAAGAGTTGTAGCCTAAATTTATTTGCATAAACTTGTGATACCAGTGTGCACCTGCCCCATATGCCAGACAGTTGTAGCTTTGCATTTCAACCCTCATAAATATTGATCAAGCTCACAAAGTCAGTCTAGCCATGTGAAGTTGCATGTCGGACTTGGAACCAAAGAGTCAAACACTTATAGCCTTCTCAGACTAACTGGCTTGCTTATTCTGTTGGTCAAAGTACTCCATACTTAAATTGTACAACTGTGTTTAGATTTACTCTCTCTGGAGCACATCCTCTATTTAGGGTAGTGTTAGTGAACTGGTTACAGATCTGAAGAGTGGTGGTTTGAGAATCAAATAGAAATTATAGCATTAAGGGCTGTAGTGATTTGAAGTGAGAGGTGTGGCAACCAGGTGACTAGGGTGTGCAAGCCAGAAGTTTACTGTGATTGAATTGATACTGTGAAGGTTAGGGAATGCTGATCATTATCAGACACAACAGTCCTTTTCAGGACTTCTTACACTTGGAACATCTTACAACTTACAAAATCCAACATTTACTAGTCCTGTTTGAACAAGAATGTGGTGATTAGAGATTTACCACCAGAAAATCACTTATGCAGCCTCAATGCTGTAGAACTGTGTGTTTAAAATTCAAAATTGTGATGAGATTTGTTGCATTTCTTAAAACAGTCTTCTTCCCCTTGGTGCGACTGCTTTTGTTGAATCTTGGGTTGACAAAGTGGAAGGAAGAAAGGTTTATGCTTTGGCAGAATTAAGATCTCCAGATGGCAAAGTGTTATATAGTTCTTCCAATGCATTGTTTATTCAGCTGCAACCTCAGGGTGAAGATGCTGACAAATGGAAAAATGCATTTGGTGACAAAAAATGACAGGTTAAAGATCTGCATCATCTTTGTTGAGGATGTGCAAGTTTCTTGGCTAAATTGCCATCTTCATAGATTAGATCTGGTGGAAACCTGATCGGAATCAACTGACTGTGTACTACAGTCGGGTAGTTCTGTTGTTTTTGGTTGATTTTCTAATAAGATTGTATTTCTTTTTTTATTTCAAAATTCCTCAAATATACGAGATGTCTTCTATCTCAGCGTATATGATATGAATCACAGATAGTGACATTTATAGAAACAATATTGATCAGTTAAAGCCAACCCATTATTTTAAAATGTTTTCCAAACGTATGGATGAAAAGAATAATGTGTATCTTTTTCATTATGTTATTTATTGGTTCAAAAACAGTCGATTGTAATCCTATCCTCTCTAGTTGTGCATGGTGGATTTAGTGGTAGCAAGATATTTACAATTTTACAACCTAACCTTAGTCTTAACGATACTATATTGTGTGTATAAACTACAACGAAAAATAGTGAATTAGAGATTCATTACGAACGCGAACTTTATAGTTCATTCTTGAGTGATCGATTTTTTGTTATTTTCTCACAAAACGGTCAGTATTTACACGATTCATTATGAGTTCACTAAATCGGAATCATCTGAGTTAAAAGCCTAATGTACAAAGCAACTCCGTTTTTAACCCGCACAAAGTGAACTTAACAGTGGCTATCAGCGTTTGTCCATAGCGTCCTTGGCTATCACGCCTCTTACAGCAAATTCTTGAAAATTTTAACCTTCATTTTTCCAGACTCGATTCGTCACCGACCACGCCTCGCACTTAATCTCATCTTATGCCTTGAGTGCCATTTCAAATGATGGAATTGAGGCTCAATCTGCTGTTGTTAAGTTCGTCTCCAATCCTCCGCAGCATGGACCCAATCTCCCGGGACGCGCGCTTTTCGCAGCTGTTTGCGTCGGTATCCGCTGACCGGTGCTGAGCGCCAGAACTTGTTGATTGAGCGGATCGGTCACGTGGTTCGATGCGTTTGAAGCTTCGTCTGCGGCTGCTGTTTCGACGAAGAAGACCTGAGAATCCCATGACTTTTTCTAAGCTTTATTATTTTTGTCACCTAACAAACAGAAATAAAAAGATTTCATAAGTTAGTGACCGAGGAAGTGACCGGAAAATCTCGGCATAAAGGATTGATGACCCAAAGGTATCATTTGCGCTAACACCTTAATCAGATCACTGTTACAAAAGGAAATCATTCCTACTTTTAAGATATCATGTGCTCACTCAAAACGCTAAAGATTTAAGCTGCGGTTTGTTTCCTTTTCGAACTTAAGATTAGATCTCCACTAAATCGAACTCTGAGGGGAAGAAAGAAATTATGCAGCTGAGTTGTAACCATTTTTCAGTCGATTCAAAGTTGTCTTAATTTTACTTCAAATTAAGCAGTTCGACAGCTCTAGGAATTTTTTCCTGACGTATCAGGGTAACTTGAGATTACCTTAACTACGTGGGGTTTTCTTTGTCTGTTTTATTTCTTCCCTTTATTTCTTTTACCTACGATCAAAATTTCTTATCTTGAGAACTTCTCAAGTGCCTGAATTCATTCACCTGGCTTGTGTGTAAACAAACTTGCTCCGAATGAAAATATGTCAGTAAATGGGTTATGTCTCTATCCTTGCAATCGTAGAAAATTTCAGTATTAACGTCACTGATGTAGTCTTTTTTCGCCAAGGTGGGTCATTAAGTCTTTTACGTCACCTTCCTTTTAGGAAGAGTTGGTGAGGTTAACGTGTATCTTTTACCTAAAGATGTGTAAATGATCCTAAGCACGTAAGCGTGATTGAGCTAAAATGACGCAGCGTTAAACTCTAATTCTTTATGCAGATTTGCTTTTCTTTACAGTGTGGAAGAACATCCTTCTGTTTCTTTCCATTCATTTTAATATTTGTAATTTTAGAATCTTAAAGTAGAAAATGCAAAGCAACGCCCGGTTTCTTGTTGAAAAAAATTTACTTCAAAATTCAAAGTTCAAAATCTGATGATCTTTGACCAAAAAAACGTTGCCGACCCTCTTACTTATGGAGCAAATTAGACATGAAAGGGTGTAGTTCTGTAATTTGGTGCCCTTTGTATAGCTGTCAGCATAGCAAGGCGTTCACCCACAAGCCATTTATCGTAATTGACTCCATCACCGATTTTTCATTTATAGTTTTTTTCGGAAACATTTCTTTTATCACTTATTCAGGACCGGAAAGTAACCACGGCGAACACAGCAAGTCTGAATGGAGCCGGATAATAGACTCTCTTTCGTTTGACGAGTTTATTTTTGGAAACTTGATCCTAATCAAGCGTTTGTGTATAAGCTCTTTCTTGTTATGATTAGAACTTCAAATGAAAATTGAAGGTTATTTTCACAGTTTATACAATAGCAAATCTACAAAACTGGCTCCATTTCAATGTGGTGAAAACGCTAAATTTTTCCCTTTGCCATTGATAAGCGGCAGGTACCCTTAATTGCCGGAGAAACGTTAATGTCGAGACGAAGTGTGATTAAGCGGGCGGTAAATTCTTAGAAGAAAATTTTCTTTCGGTTTATCAGCGAAAATAATCCCGTTTTCACCTACAATGAGTATTTACTTGATTTGAAACACACTGCAAAACAATGAGGATAACTACGACCGTTTAATCCGGTTATATCTACCAGAAAAGACGTGGGTAGGTAGCTGTCTGTCCTCCCCCGCAAATAAACTCAGTTTTTAGGAATAAAACATTAAAACTTCTCGCGCTTTCTTGAAGGAATAGTTCGGTTTGCTTATCCTTACCTCAGATATTAAGCTGATGTAACAGCTGTCCCTGGTAGACTCTCGTTGTTCCTATCTTAATAGCTGAGAGTTTCAAGCTTTACTGACCTAAACGCTGGGCTGCCTAAGGATATCTGATTGCAGTAAACAAAGAACTTCGTTTTATCTGTCGTTCGCAATGATGTAATGGCTGACAACCGGAAAATGCGTTCTTACGTATTTCCGGTTTACGATCGCCACAATTCTCTTAGAAATCGAATCTTAAAAATTGTAATGGGTTTTTTGTCATGGTCAGAAAGTTCTGTTTTTATGTCATTACCGCAAAATTGAGTGAGAAAATGCTTCGACCAATTTATCCTTTAGTTTAAGTAGTGCTGTGTCAGGCTTACACATCGCTCAAAAAAAAAAACTTTTATTTTTCGAAGGTTAATTTTGAGATGATAACGGTGACTTAATGTACAAAGAATCTTAAAAATGTACACCTGGCTTGCTTTACAAAACGTGCTCCGATAGCAAACCTCATTGAGCATGTGCTGAGTGCTATAAATTTCGAAGGTTATTTTTGGACAGGTTGTCAGGAAAACATCTTTTGGGGGCACAATTAGCGAGCCACTAAACCGTACAACTCCTTACCACCAGCCTAGCATGTGACAGGTGTTAAAAAGGAAAGGAAAATTTTCATTGTCTCAGAAAGCAATTTATATTATCGTTGACAGTTTCTGACTTTCTCGAGACTCTTACCTTGACCCTAATTTATGCTTTGTCAGTATTTTAAACGTTCACCACGTAAGTTTTTCGGCAAACCGCGCGTTGCTTGGAAACGCATTGGGAGTTTGCTGCGGTTTTGGAGCGCTAAAAAAGTTTACATTTCGGAAGGAAACGCCGATATTTAATTTCTTTGAGAGAACAATAGTTTTATGTTAATAAGGAGGTTCCACCCTTCTAAGCAATACAATGAGAGTTAAGACTTTTTGGATGGTTTCCAATTCTTAGGGAAACACACAAGCGGTACAGCGAATGTGAGCTGCAATACCGCAAAGGAAAGAAAGTGGTTATTGTTGTACTGCTATAAACTGACTTTACAACAAAGAAATTCTTTGACGCAGTCCCGTTTTATAATTTGCGGCCAAACCTCTAAATTGGGTATCGAATAACCGCTCGAACTTATCGTCTTCATTTCTATGGTAAATTTCAAGTTTCCTGGCGTCTGAAAGACGTAAATTCCGGAAAAAAGGAATGGGTTCTCGGATGTAATCTGCCAGTTGTCTATCAATGATTTTATCGAAGGTAGAACTTTTAAGCGATGAGAGCGCCATCACTTTGCTAAGTGTTACTGAATAATTTGTTCTAACCTATCCGAAAAATGTTCGTAAGAGTTTGAACTAGTTCCTGTTCTTTATCTTTGAAGTAATCTGCTCGAACCTTGACACAGTTCAGCAAACAACAAAATCTTGAATAAAAGTTTACATGTTACTAATTTTATAGCTTACTCGACCATAACCTGCGAAAGGGAAAACCCCTACACTCCTTAAATCAAAAGTGATTTCAGAATAAATTTGCCACATCGTTGGAGAGAATTTTTTGTTGTAGAATTTGATAAAGCAATTTTGCAAGCTTAATGTCTTAGGTTTAGGAAATTTCTCAACATATCAACGGGATTTCACCCTGTTTCCTGATCGGCGTAAAGAGTTTGTCGTCATAAGATTGAATTTTTCTCGTATTGTATTGCGTATTCCAAATTGAGAGGGATATAAAACATGTTTTGGGCCGAGTTATTTACATATACTGCATTAGTCTGTCAAAACTTGCTAGAACGAGTTTTTGGCGCCATAATACATACTGAATTGAGTCTTTACAAGAATTACCAAAAAAAAATATTGACGTTCGGAATTTTCGCTTGGGAACAGCGGTAAGATGTGGACTCTATCTATAGTGGCGTGGGATGCAACGTGTTCCGCAGTTTAATAGAGGATGTTAAATTTTAACAGCCCTTAGAGAAATGAAATAAGAGGACTTGGGTGGCAAAAAATGATTCCTAATCATTTCTTTCTTTTTGCGCATGGGTTAGTTGCTGAGTTGAGATTTCTAAGGCTTAGACAGTGTTAGAAGCTAAGCTTTCTTTTTGACCGGAATTTCCCTTTGTTTTTGCGCGCAGCGTTTGCATTTTCGATAAAGTACAATCGTTTAGTTGGTAGTCAATAAATAGCTTCATCATGACAGGTTTTCTTTTTTTTCATTTGTTATTTTCGTCTAAGTACATCATTTATTGATAATTCATGTCAGCTGAATCGAAAACTGAATGCTTGTGCCCAAAAAAGGATAAGGTTTACATTTCAATTTAATCGCTACTTGGAAAATGGTGCAACTCAAAAGCTTAGAGACTGCATGATTTAATTTACATCCACATCAATTGTTTTTAATTTTACCTCTGCAGTCTGTAGAGGTTTAAATAACTTTTTCCACAAGCGGCTGTCAATGTTGTGATAGGCGACTGTGCCCGCAAAGGGGCTGGAGGGCGAAACTCAAACACGACGCCTGCTCGCAAACTAAACAGACGGTGGTCGGAACGAGGCCATAAAGGCCGCGGTAGACCACCGACTCTTATGAAACCCCAAAGTCTGAGGTACAATTTACCTGCGACTTTGTTCACCAGAGATTTAATTTGAGTTAACTTCAGTCAGATATGAGTTTCGCTTGGAAAAATTTGGAAACATGTTTGACAGGTTTGTCTCATTTGACCAAAAATAAACAAAACATGCAAATAAG